TGAGCCGGTGAGATTTGAACATCCGAACTGCAGAACTGCAGTGCTGCATTTAACCACTGCGCCACCTCGGCTCTTCTAGTCCAACCCTTTGCTCAAGCAGGGCACCCTATGCCCGTGATGGCTAAACTTTTCCAGACTGAGTGCTTGCATGCAAACCTCCAAAATGCAATACCCGCACAGCCCCAGGGGTGTGCCCCACCCCCTGGGCATGCATGCAGTCACTCCGCATGTGCCCCACCCCCGTGCAGGCCCACCTTGCACGCACCCCCCCATGCACATGCACATGGCCACTTGCACGCCCCCTACGTATGCTATGCGGGGCAGAGACCCGATGACCAGCTGGCTGGCAGGAGGGGCTCACGCATGCACGGTGGGGCTGAACTAGGGCGAAGGCTCACCTGCCCATAGAGTGGATGGTACATGCCACCTGTGGCCATCACAACCCTTTGCCATTTCAGACAAGTGACTGTTCAGTCTTTTCTTTAAAAACCTCCAGTGATGGAGTGCCCACAATTTCTGTCCCACTGGTGAATTGTCCGCTCTGTTAGGAAGTTTCTCCTTAATTCCAGGTTGCTTCTCTCCTTGATTAGTTTCCATCTGTTGTTTCTTATCTTGCCTTCTGGTGCTTTGGAGTATAGGTTGACACCCCCCCGCTACTCTTTGGGGCAGCCCCTCAAATACTGGAATACTACTATCATGTCTCCCCTAATTCTTCTTTTCCTTAGACTAGCCAGACCCAAATCCTCCAATCGTTCTTCATATGTTGTGGTCTCCAGGTTTCGTCATCTTAGTTGCTCTTCTTTCTACTTCTTTCAATGTCTCAACATCTTTTTTGTAATGTGGTGACCCAAATTGGATGCCATATTCCAGGTGTTGCCTTACCAAGGCTTTATAAAGCACTTTGGCAATCTTAAAATGGATCAACTTCAACTCCCAGAATTCCCCAGAGCCTGACTTCTCTAGATAAGACTCTATGGTTGTTGGATAGTTTAACCTAAGCTTTAAACCAATGTTTTTCAACCTTGGCAACTTTAAGATGAGTAGACTTCAGTTCCCAGAATTCCCCAACCCTCCACAGCCATTGCAATTGATTGGGGAATTCTGGGAGTTGAAATCCAACAATCTTAAAAGTTTCCCAGGTTGGACAACCCTGGTCTACTCACTTCTGGAGAGGAGAGAAAGTCTAAAAGGTAAAGGTTCCCCTCACACATATGTGCTAGTCATTCCTGACTCTAGGGGGCAGTGCTCATCTCCTTTTCGAAGCCGAAGAGCCAGCGCTGTCCGAAGATGTCTCCGTGGTTGTGTGACTGGCATGACTCAATGCTGAAGGCGCACAGAACGCTGTTACCTTCTCACCAAAGGTGGTTCCTCTTTTTCTACTTTCATTTTTTACATGCTTTCAAACTGCTAGGTTGGCAGAAGCTGGGACAAGTAACGGGAGCTTACTCCGTTACGCGGCACTAGGGATTCGAACCGCCAAACCACCAACCTTTCTGATTGACAAGCTCAGCATTTTAGCCACTGAGTCTAGTGGCATGCTAATCCTCACTTTTGGTTGTCTTGTGAATAAGTCATCATTACTAACTGGTGTTTTCCCATCCAGGCAAGTATTTTTGGAGACTTACTCGCAACAAGAATTTGGTGTCCCTTCAGCCAGCTCAGATCCATCGTTTCTGGAAGGGATTGCCTCTTAACTTGGACAGTGTGGACGCGGTATACGAGAGGACCCATGACCACAAGATAGTCTTCTTCAAAGGTAGAAGGAGGAAACATCTCCCATGCTTTCTATTTGTGACTCTCCTTTCCCCAAATCTTTAGTTTCCATACGGTGATGGAAAGTTTGTTTCATTCCTTACTGGACATTCATGTGGAAGGTTGTTTTCCTTCTCTTAATGCCATGTAAGTTGATGCCATCACTGACTTACAGCCATTCTGGGCAAGGTTGGCCCTGTGGGAAGCTAACCACTCCTAGAAGAATAGCAATAGCAATACCCTTATATACCGCTTCACAATGCTTTCCAGCCCTCTCTAAGCAGCTTGCAGAGTCAGCCTCTTGCCTCCAACAATTCGAGTCCTCATTTCACAAACCTCAGAAGGATGGAAGGCTGAGTCAACCTTGAGCCAGTCAGGATTGAACTGCTGGCAGGGGACAGAGGAAGGAAGGAAGGAAGGAGAAAAGGAAAAGCAAAGCAATAGGAATAGCACTTATATACCACTTCATAATGTTTTTACAGCCCTAAGTGATTTACAGAGTCAGCTTCTTGCCTCCAACAATCTGGGTCCTCATTTGACCCACCTTGGAAGGATGGAAGGCTGAGTCAGCCTTCAGCCTAGTGAGATTCAAACTGCCAAATTGCAGGCAGCCAGTGGTGAGCAGAAGTAGTTTGCAAGTACTGCATTTTAACCCCTGCGCCACCGCAGCTCTGAAATATTTTGAGAACTATTTTAAAAAGGCAGGATAAAATATTTCCCCTAAAAGAGAAATACAAACCTTAAGGGAGACAGAAACTCAGAGCTTCAGCTTCCTGCCCCCCTCCCCTCTCCTCCCTCCCTGAAGCAGGTACTGAGCTGGGGCAGCTTTAGAAATGCAGATTTGGTAATCCATTACTGCCTGCAGCAGGCTCTGAACAGAGGTAGGGTTAGCCTTCAGCCACAATAGGAATTGCCCAACAAACCTCTTCATTGCATCAGCCAAACCTCAACCAAATGTAGCTCAGTCAAATTCCTAGGATTTGTACATGGCCCTATGGGAGTCTGAAAATAGCCCATAGAATACATGTTCTTGCACAGGAACAGGAAGCTCAAGGGCAAAGCCCAAGAGAGGGTATAAATACCTCTCTCTTTCAACTCCATGTGCTTCATGGTTCTGCTTCCTCATTGAACCATCTTTCCAAATCAGCCTCCATGTTTCCAGTGTCTTTCTCCCCGCTTGGAACAGAACCGAGATGGATATTTCTTCCAACAGCCCAAAAGGAGGGAGACATGATTGCTTCCTTACCTCTTTCTTCTCCCCAGGAGACCGCTATTGGGTGTTCAAAGACAACAATGTTGAAGAAGGCTACCCTCGGCCCATCTCGGATTTTGGCTTGCCCCTAGGAGGCATCGACGCAGCCTTCTCCTGGGCTCAGAACGACAGGACCTATTTCTTCAAAGACCATCTCTACTGGTGCTACGATGACCACCAGCAGAGAATGGAGGCGGGCTATCCTTTAGAAAGCACGCTGTGGAAAGGCATTCCCAGCCAGCTGGACGATGCCACGCACTGGTCAGATGGTGAGTTGGGACGTTCAGAGAGCTTTTTTTGAGACAACTTTGGCTGGAAGTAAGGAGACCGCTGGGAATATCTCCCAATTAGGACAGGACACCAATATACATACTGGTGGTCTTACAGATTAACAGAGTTGGAAGCAAATTGTCCCACGGCAAGTTGGCCATGGTGAATTGGCCATTGTGAGTTGGCCGTGGTGAGTTGCCCCATGGCAAGTTGTCCCCATTGAATTGGCTGTGTTGAGTTGTCTGATGGTGAGTTGGCCATGATGAGTTGACCAGGTTGAGATAGCTGTGGCGATTGTCCCATAGCGAGTTGGTCACATTGAGTTGGCTGCGTTGAGTTGGCTGTGTTGAGTTGGCCATGTTGAGTTGGCTTTGGCGAGCTGTCCCATAGCGAGTTGGTCATATTGAGTTGGCTGTGTTGAGTTGTCCATGATGAGTTGGCCCCATTGAGTTGGCTGTGTTGAGTTGGCCACGTTGAGTTGACTGTGGCGAGTTGTCCCATAGCAAGTTGGCCACGTTGAGTTTTCTGTGTTGAGCTGGCTGCATGGAGTTGGCAGTGGTGAGTTGTCCCGTTCCATGTCTGGACATAATTTTTTTTCTCTCTTTCTGTCTCTCTCTCTCCTTCCAGGGGCCACCTACTTTTTCAAGGGCAAGGAGTATTGGAAAGTTACGGACAGCAACCTGGAGTCTGAATCAGGCTATCCCCGCTCGATCGCGAAAGACTGGCTGGTGTGCAGCGACATGCAGGCCGATGCGCCCGAGCCAGCCGAGCGCTCCAGGACCGGGGGCCGCTCCAAGCAGGGATACCATGACGAAAGCCGATCGGAAAGCGAAGTCTGCTCTTGCACCTCCTCTTCCTCCGACCTCCCACCCTGCACCTCCCTCAGACTCTGCGGCGGCTTGCTCTTGCTCACTCTTTGGACAGCGGTATTGGTGCACGGACCTCTATGACCCAAGGGTGTCGCTTCAGACTGCAGCAATTCAGGGGCGCCAACAGACGCTGGGGGGAGGAACCAATGACCTCCTAGGTCTCCCCGCTGCAGCGGTGTTCCGAAAGCAACATCTAACATTCTTAGCAATGTGATGTGGAATTAGTTTCAGATTCTCCATGAGAAGCAAAAGAGCATTTTTCATGATCCTGATGAATTAGTATTGTCATCCTGATTTCCTTCGGTTGGCTGAGATGGGTTGACGGTTCCCATTTTTATTTTATTTTGTTTTTATTTTATTCTTTTTTTAAAACTCACTTGCTTTTCACGCCAGACTTCGCAGGTTTTCTCACATCCTCCGGTCTCCTCTTCCCCCAGCATACAAACCTACGAATAAAAAGTTTTTTTTTTCACCTGCCCACATAGTCATCCTATTCCCACGGGGTTATTTATTCTCTCTCTTGCTCGGGGTATTTAAACTACAACCCCCTGCCCATCAACCTTACGAAAACAAAAGGGGGAGAAATCAGCCTTTAATTTCAGGATCGGTCAAGGTGGAACCGCTGAGAATTTAGTCCCCAGGGAATTGGGGGAACGTTGGAGGGCGGGATTACTGTTAGTCTTCATATTATGACCACAATGGGGTCCAAAAGGTCCGTGATTAAGCCAATCCCTTGCTAAGTGAGTTTTGCCCCATTTGACCATATGTTTCTCCCATCGTTGTTAAGGGAACCGTGCAGTCGCTAGGTGAATCTGCAAAGGTGACTTTGGGTTGTCGGGAGCTGGCTGGGAAGGTCAGAAAAGTGGCTCATGTCACCCCCGGGACGCTGCAACTGTAAAAAGTACATGCAAGTTGCCAAGCACCTGAATTTTGATCATAGGATAGGATAAAATAACACTACATTAGAATGGAAGAGAGTAGAATAGAAGAGAGAAGAGGGGAGGGGAGGGAAGAGAAAATGGAATAGAGTGGAGTGGAAGGGAAGGGAAGAGAAGAGGAATATGGAATGGAATGGAAGAGAATGGAGTGAAGTGGAAGGGAAGAGAAGAGAGGAATATGGAATGGAGGAGAATGGAATGGAATGGAGTGGAGTGGAAGGGAAGGGAAGAAAAGGAAAGAGAAGAGGGATATGGAATAGAGTGGAGTGGAGTGGAAGAGAAGAGAAGAGAAGAGAAGAGAAGAGAAGAGAAGAGAAGAGAAGAGAAGAGAAGAGAAGAGAAGAGAAGAGAAGAGAAGAGATGGAATGGAGTGGAAGGGAAGGGGAAGGGAAGAGAAGAGAAGAGGGATATGGAATGAAATGGAAGAGAATGGAATAGAGTGGAGTGGAGTGGAAGGGAAGAGAAGAGAATGGAGTGGGAGGGAAGGGGAAGGGGAAAAGGGAAGGGAAGAGAAAGAGAAGACAAGAGAAGAGAAATAGGGAATGGAATAAAAGAGAAGAGAATGGAATGGAGTGGAAGGGAAGGGAAGAGTAGAGTAGAGTAGAACAGAACAGAACAGAACAGAACAATAACTTTATTATCATTTTGAATGCGCATTAATCAGCATACATTAAAGTGAACTTCCGTTGCCTACAGCTCTCAAAAGGTCTCCACCTCCAATACCCACGACATAATCTAACGGAATAAATAAATAAATACAGAGAAATACAGAATTCTGCATAAACCCACATCAGAGGTGAAATCAATTTACCTTTGCTATCGGTTTGGAAGCCATATGAGCACGTGCACACTTCGCTTGCATGCGCCACCTCTGCGCATGCTCAGGGCCTTCCCTGCATGCGCAGAGCATCAAGAGGGGATGACCCTGCTATCAAGCGCGCCTGCAAAGTTAAGGAGAACAGCCGGGGGGGGGGACGGGGGGAAATCTGCTGTGCCAGGCGATTTAGATTAGCTGGAAAGCAGGAAATCCAATGATCCCAGCTAATATAAATCCCGCGTCACAGCTGATTGTCAGAAATAGAGATTCGCCTGAACCTGTAGCATTTCACCCCTGACCCACATATATTAATTATATCATGTAATCATGGGGATTCTACAACGGTCGCTAAGTGTGAAAAACAAACCTGTCACATTTTTTCAGTTCTAACTGGTTGTAACTTGAACCACGGAACAAATGGTTGTAAGTCGAGGACTACATGTACCGCTAGTCCTCGACTTGCAACAGTTCGCTTAGTGACTCTCCAAAATTACGAAGGCAATGAACAAAGAGAGTTAGGATGATTTTTTCACACTTACGACCACTGTTGTAGCGCCCCAGGAACATGTGATTGAAATTCAGTCGCTTGGCAACAGAATCACGTTTATGAGGGTCCCGGCGTCCCGGGTTCTTATGATCCCCTTTTGCGACCTTCTGACAAGAAGTCAAGGGGGGGGGAGCCAGATTCACTTAACGACCGTGTGACTAACTTAACCACTAAAGTGACGACTACAGCAATAAAAAACGCAAAACGGGGCAAAACCCACTTAACAAACGTCTCACTTAGCAGCATAAATGTTGGGCTCAATTGTGGCCATTAAGTCGAGGACTACCTGCATTGCCCAATTATGATTTTAAAAGCGAGGGAAAAAAACAAGTCACGAATTGCCAGATGAGGGCAGCAGAGATTATAAAATTTGGCAGAACAAAGCGAGAACTTTAGAAACAGAAGTGATTTTTTTTGTAACAAGGACTCAATCCAGTGTCTTCACTGTAATGCTGGGGTTGCATGGATTTGTGGGCGGGAAACCTTGGTTTCAACTCGCAAAGCGTCCCTGGCCTGCTCTCAAGTTGCCATGGGAAAGCGGGGATGGAAAACCAATGAAATGGCACGGCAGCAACAAAACAAAACAAAACACAGATACACATTCCAGACTTGTCTATCTCAAGGCTGTCTCCCAGGGTTACCCACAGCGGCCAGAGAGGAGTGATCTCTACAACTCCCAAAACTGCCCCATTGGCGAATGTGATTGATGACACACCCTGGGGTAGGGGAGGACTTTGCATCAAAAGTCTTAAAACGCCCGTGAGGAGCATCCTTGGTCATCGGAAAATTAAACTCCAACTTCAACCAGCTCCAGGAGATTCTAAAAACCTGAACTGGTGTCGCTTGAGCGGGATTGCCCAGAAAGTTGTTTTTTTTTGTGATATTGAATCCAGGGATATAATCCTACGACATTGCATTATCTGCATGAAAACATGGTGTGGGGATTCCCAAGGAGAGAGCGAAAACGGAGAAGGGGAGGGCCAACTGCAGAGATGGGAGACTTTCTGAAAATTGCGGCTTTTGAAAAGAAACTCATCTTGGTTGAAGTCTGTAGAGATTCTCAGCCATCCAGGTCCTGGTTATCCCAAAGGTGCTTTTTCAGGAGGCAACTGGACTTTCTTGTTTTTTTTTCTTTTGAAGACATTTCACTTCTCATCCAAGAAGCTTCTTCAGCTCTGACTGGATGGTGGGGAACAGAAAGATTTATACTCCTTGCAGAGAGCTGGCCATTTGCATCCTTTTAGAGGGTCATTGAGGCCACTTGGAGGTTTCTCTGTGTCCTCAGGGTCACCTGAGTGGTGCAAATGATTCCAGTTTTTTTTTTCTGGAAATCCATTCTTACTTCCACACCATTCAAAGGGAGTTCATCCCAAATTGTATAGCTAAAAGTTTGTAGAGATGGTTGTCCCAAAGGTGCTTTTTCAAGAGGCAACTGGACTTTCTGGTTTTTTTTCTTTTGAAGGCATTTTACTTGTCATCCAAGAAGCTTCTTCAGCTCTGACTAGATGGTGATGAGAAGGGAAACATCTTCAAAACAAAACAAACAAGAAAGTCCAGTTGCCTCCTGAAAAAGCACCTTTGGGACATCTTGGTTGAAGGCTGAAGATTTCGATTTCAACACATAATGGAGAACAAACTAGATGGACATCTCTCCACCATCCAGAGCCTAAATGGAGAAATAGGTTGATTTGTATGTCACACACTAAGCTGTGTTTTGCTACTCTTAGGTGTGCATGAAGCCCTGATGAATTGGAGTCCTACCTCACCATCTGTGCACCATTTTGATAAGACTCCTGACCAGGCTCATGCAACCTTTAATGTCAGAATCAAATAACCCTCTCCATAATTTATGTTGAGATGCTGGAAAGAGTGCAGAGAAGAGCAACGAAGATGATTAAGGGACTGGAAACTAAGAATATGAAGAATGATTGCAGGAATTGAGCATGTTTAGTCTAGTGAAAAGAAGATGTAGGGGGGAATATGATCCAATATTTGAGAGGTTGCCACAAAAATGATGGGGACAAACTATTTACCATAGCATCAAAAAGCAAAAACAAGACAAGAATGAATGGATGCAATAACTGCAACCAATTTTGGTCGCACAAAAAATATGTTGGAAAAAGTTCAGAGAAGAGCAACTAAGATGATCAAAGGCCTGGAGACTAAAAGATATGAAGAGCAGCTGCAGGATTTGGGGTTTGGCTAGTCTAAAGAAGAGAAGACTTAGGGATGACAGAATAGCAGCATTCCAGTATTTGAGGGGCTGCCATAAAGAAGAGGGGGGGTCAATTTATTTTCCAAAGCACCAGAAGGCAGGACAAGAAACCATGTTTGGAAACTAATCAAGGAGAGAAGCAACCTGGAATTAAGGAGAAACTTCCTAACAGTGAGGACAATTAACAAGTGGAACAGAAGTTGCCTCCATAAATTGTGGGCACTCCATCACTGGATGTTTTTAAGAAGAGACTAAATAGTCAGTTATCTTAAATGGTATAGGGTTTCCTGCTTGAGCAGGGGGTTGGACTAGAAGACCTCCAGCTCCTTCCCTTCCCTTCCACTTCATTCCATTCCATTCCATATTCCTCTTCTCTTCTCTTCCTTCCTTCCATTCTCTTCTATTCTATTCCATTCCATCTCCCTCTTCTCTTCTCTTCTCCTCTTTCCTCTCATCTCCTCTCCTCTCCCCGTCCATTCCATTCCATTCCATTCTATTATCAAGGAGAGAAGCAACCTAGAACTAAGGAGAAATTTCCTAATGGAGAGAACAATCGATCAGAGGAAGACCTTGCCTTCAGAAGCAGTGGATGCCCTATGTCAGCTCCACTCCATTCCATAACTAGGAAAGAAGACTAAGAGACTCCATGGGTTGGCAATTGATATATAGAATAGCCCGTTCCCCCCTCCCCCCTTAGGATAATAGCTCCAGTCCAATCATAAGTCCTTCAAGTGTCAGGTGTGAGATAACTTCAAAAAGATAGGCCGAAGATGGAATGTCGAGCCCGTTGATGCAGGCGGGAAACACACACGCCTGCGCAATCCCAACGTCTGGTACATCCTAGAACATTCCTCCAGCACATCAATTAACCCCTCCCAAATACCAGCCCCCCCTTCCC